AAAGGTACCTGAAGCGACATCAGCTTCATCTTTAGCAGCTTCCAGTGTCATTTGGAATGCTCTCGCCTTTGGCTTTGGCGAAATGTTGGGTTTAGCTGCCTCCTTCTTCTTCGGGCAGTCCCTCGACATGTGTCCCTCCTCACCACAACCATAACAAACTTTCTTAGTGAGGGTACATTCATTGGCATAGTGACCTGGCTTTCCACACTTGTAGCATGTGGTCATTACCTCACATTTTCCATGATGCTTCTTCTTACATTTGTCGCACCATTTCGCTTCGCCTCCACTTCCCCTCGAACCAGACTTCGAGAACTTGTTTTTCTTATTGGACCCTGAAGTTCCATCGAACTTCCTCTTTTCACCAACTTCTATCCTTTCCAGACCCTTTTCCTTCTGTTGGGCCTCCACATTCTCAGCTGCACGAACAGCCGTTTTTCAGAGTAGTTGCCATCTTGACTGTCGGACCAAAGTCGGCAGGCAGTCCATTAGCAAACCTCTCAATCTTGGAGAGTTCCGTTGGCACTAGGTACGGAAATAATTTCATTTTCTCAGTGAATGCCGTAGCATAGTCGTCTACGCTCATCCTCCCCTTTTTCAAGTTTTGGAACTCATTGTTCAGATCAATTAGATCTATCTCTGAACAATATTGCACCCTTAACTGTTCCAAGAACTCCTCCCATGACATTTTCAAAGCTTCTCCTCGTGGCATAGTATCTGCCAACAACTTCCACCAACTTAATACTCCAGTCTTCAGTTGTCTGAGTGCAAAGACAATCTTCTGTTTTTTTCTACAGTCGCAACTTTCAAATACCATCTCCATTTCGGAGATCCAATCCATTATTTCAACAAGCTTTGGGCTCCCAGAAATACATGGCGGTTTGGCGCCCAAGAAATTCTTGTACATTCGCCCATCGTTGTTGTTTCTCCTTTCCGGATTGTTCCTTCGTTCTTCTTGAGTCCCAACTTGACTCATAATGCGACTATTGTTCCCTTCCTCCGATTGCTCGGGAATCAATTCAGGTTCCTCAATAGGTATGATAGGTTCGTCCCTATTATTATGCAACATTTGTCGCATCTCCTCCCTTTGTTCGGCTAGCATAGCCCGAATCATGGCTTGCACTCCAGCCATGGTGATCTGTTATGGTGCTGCCGCTACAGCAGGTATTTGCTCAATCACTGGCAGTTGATTCCTGTTTTCATCCGCGTTTCCAACGCCACTCCTTGTTCTCACCATTTTTGATCTACACATCGAATAAGGTGAAATTTAGATCTTCGATCATGATAGATTTTCAAATCATCCTTATCACTCCGAAACGATTACATGCTAGTTCTAATATCATATACATACGCTTAGAATCCTAAATACATAAACCTTTAGATCCGGTTGGCAACAAACCGTAGATCCGAACAAATAATATCATATATGGCAACATATAACATTTAGCACATAAAAGCATTTTAGGCAACGTTCCTAAAATAAACTAGTGCTTGTGTCTAAAATCCAACAGACACACATCTCAAATTTCACTTAGCATTCTAAGTTTAAGTTTAGAAATCCTACAAATTCCTAATTCGCTTAAACTAATGCTCTGATACCAACTGTGACATCCCCAAAATCATGGCCAGAAAAGACTGATTTTCATTTATGCTTTTAAAATAATTTCAGAGTAAATCCTTTTGATTTGAAAGAGTTGTGGAATTTGTTCCCAAAAACAAAACATGATAAAACAATGTTTACCAAAGCATTTCATAAAAGAAATGTATTTTTCATTATATAATCAAAACTCGGGGTGTCATGTTCCGATACAGACCAATAAGCATAAACGATAACATTACAAGTCATTCAACAATATATATACATATGCAGACTTGTAAACAAAACAACTTGATGGTTCATCCATCTTACGCCCTTGCACCACTTTCTGTAATACAAATAAAACTGAGTGGGTCAGGCTTGGGAGCCTGGTGAGCATATAGGGTTTTCAACCCACAATAAATAAATTATATTTAATTTCACCAACCAATCACTATCCCGATTACCCATTCCCGTTATCCTCACTTTACGTCCCTAAAACAACATCTATCTCAAGGGACCTAATCTAGGATTTTCATCGGGACGGACATTACTGCTAAGGGGTTTCCTCAACAATAGATATCCTAAAGGCAACCATGAGGGGGATAGAGTACACCGGTGAACACATCGTTCACAACACCTACAGGTTATGAACCTGCTAGCGTTCCACGAGACTGTCTAGAAGTAGTCTGTGGTCGTTATCCATACTCCGCTGAATAACTAGGTCAACAACAACAACATCGAGGTCTCTTATCTGTTTATTACACACCAACTATCTACCAATGTTCTACCCAAGATATTAGTAGATAAAAATATATATATTTTTATACATACTTTAAAACTTGTATAGCATTTTCATCCAATACATATTTCACATAACAGATGAGGCATACCCACATAACACGTATTTCATAGAAAACAAATCAGATCTATAAGATTGAAGAGAGTGAATATACATTCACACACATAACAACAAAATTATACACATAACACGTATTTTGTATAAAATACTTCATAATTATGCGTTAGAAGAAAGTAACTACACACTCACTTGATCAGAAGATTATCGGACAGCACTACGGCTTGTAGAAGTAGTAATCCTCAGCAGATCTGAAAGATCTCTACAAAAATCGAACTTCTCGCGGCCGCACTTCTCGGGATCTTCGGGATCTCGGGACTTGCTTTGGGACTCGGGAATATTACCGGGGCTTCGGGGTGGCTTCGGGGGTAAAAACGCAGAGCTTCGGCACGAAACGGAGGAGAAATGAGCAATTATGTCCGGACCTCTTGCATCCTATTTATAGGAGGCTGGAACCTCCCAGTACGCGGGGCGTACGCCTGTACACGGGGCGTACATGCCTCCGAAGTCGTCACTGCATGCGTCATCCGAAGTGTCGACATTTCTTGCTATACGCGGGGCGTACTCCGGATGAGTCCGGTGACTCGTCTTCGGATAAGGTCGGATTTAATAATTAAATTTAATTATTAATTATTTAATAAACTTCGAAAATTCATATCTTTTTCATACGAACTCCGTTTTCGACGTTCTTTATATCCACACAAAGGTGTGACTACGCTCTACAACTTTCGTTTTGACTGCGTCGGCTAATTTTGACTTTATTTTTATTATTTATTTTTAATAGGCTGGAACAGAAAATTTCGTTATAAATTAATAACTTCTTCGTTTGACGTCCGTTCTCGCCTAACTTTTTATCGCTTTGATACTAACAACGAGATCTTCGATTCTCGTTTAGATCACTAAGGCTAAATATCGCTCTAACGTAAATTTCACTTTTTACGTCATTCAGCAGTGTCGGTTTTGTCGCGAAACTTCGACAGGTCATAACTTCTTCGTTATAACTCGGATTTCGACATTCTTTATATCTTCGGAAACCTTGTTTCAACTACTACAACATTATCTAAAGATATCAAGTTTATTTTATACTTAAATTTTGACGCTTATTTTTATTCTTAATTAATCAAACCACATAATTAAGCAATTAAGCACAAAATACATAATACTCAAATAATACACTTCTATTATTTCAAAACGGGTTACAAAGGTTAACCTAGACTATTACATTGCTAAAAATGGCAAGCCCAGAAACACAAGCGTTATAGACGACCTAGTTAATGATCGTCGCTTGTTTAGTGTCGGGTTCGGGCCCTTGCCCTCACGGCCTAGTACTTATCTCTCATTGCTCTAGTGTCGAGGTCGAATCCACGACAAGAAACCCCAGTCAACAGCAAGATAAAACAATACTAGTCGCCTCCTAGAGCGACAGGTATAGTGCTCACGGTGCTGCCCTTTGAAGATTATGCACCAATAGCAGCTAACCACTAGCTCTCATGTGTTTACTGACTAGATCGTCGGAGCCTCGTTCTGGGAACCCCTCCCGGATGACAACTGACGTCTTTTCTTTCTGTGTTGTGACTCTCAGGCTTAACCATGTCAAGACATCCAAAAGCGGCATTAAGTCCCGTCGAGATATCACAACAATTATCGTGCCCTATGTTTCCACTTTAGCGGGGTGTGACAATTCACAAGACTGTCGGTCGCCATTGTCAAGAAGCTTTGTAATAATTTTATATTGCACACCAATTAAGTTTACCAGCCTGTAATCTTTAAAATTCAAGGGGTTATCTATTTTGGGATCAAATTAATGAAAGAATAATTGCAACCATTATGGATTGAATCCGCATTAAAGAACTCCTCCACAAAGCTACAAATGTTCGTCTTCAAGAGATCCCAAAACCTTTTTACAAACCTGAAGGAAAAACCTTCAGGGTCAAGCACTCTATCACTCCCACACGACCAAACAGCATCACAAATTTCTCCCTCAGTGAATCTCGAAACCAACTTATTCCTATTAGCAAAAGAGAGTTGTCTAAACTGAGGACTAGACTGAGGAGAAAAAACACCCGAAAATCTTTTGAATTTTTCTTTAAAAAGCTCAAAAAAAAAATGATCTTTAACAATACCAAGATCAACAATCCAATTACCATCTATCAATAAGCCCTAAAATTATCATGTCTTCTTTTCTTTTTGAGCATGTAGCTTAAAAATTTTGAATTCTCATCTCCATCTACCCCCCACTCCTCTCAAAACCATTTCAAACCACATTAAAATCACCGAATATAATATACTCCCCTTGATTGTGCAACATAAACAAAAGAATAAACTTATTCGGTTATCCTCCTTGTGGTGCATAGACATTATTAACCAAGAAACAAATGGAACGAGACATCACAACTTCACCTTAATCAAGCTTCCAGCTTTCAGCTATATTTTTGTCAATCAAACATAGCGCTCAATGAAAAAGCAATACTTGTGACAAAGCATAAATGGAATAACAAAATCAAATTAGCACAAGATAACCATGCTACCTTTTAATACTCTAAATATAATATCCCTACCAACCATTTCAAAAAAAAAAAAAAAAAAAAAACATTTTTTTCAAGACTTCATCAAGTCTAAGTTTCACTCTTCACCACCACCATTTGCAAGCTCCCTTTCCTCCTCAGCAGCAGCCATCAGTTCATCAAATTTTTCAGTCTTCCCCAGTAATATCTCAATCTAAACAAAAACCAACCACAGAATTATTAAATTACATTTTAAGTCCCTGAGTATTGTTGGTTTTTGCAATTTTGGGACCAGAATTGTAAAAATCAGCTACAATTGAGGAGCAAAATGTTAACTACAATTATATACAAATAATGGTTTCAATAACTTTAAGGTTCATGTAATTAGCATGTCTTTTTATCATTGCAATATTATACTCTTTTTGTTCTTTTATATCTCATCAAAACTTTACATTGAGTTTCTGATACTTTTCTTGAATATTTTTTAAACATCATTTATCCAAGCAACACATTAAGGAAAATAGAAAAACAATTACCTTGGCTTTTTGGATGGGTCTTCCTCTAGATTCATCTTTCATGTCAACAGTGGATGTCATAATCTCTGCAGTTTTTTTAAAAAGAAAATCATTAATATAAAACAATAGAAACATGCACAGCATTAGAGAGATAATCAGATAACAATTCGCTAATAACAGTAATCCATCCTTACTTTTCTCAACAGCAAATCCACTGTTCTTGAGAATTTCTGCAATTGTGACAACTGTGGCAATAGCTGCAAGGATAACCAAAAATAACTCATGAGTCATGATAATGATAAATGTGGTTTAACTCTGCAAAAGAAGAAGCCATTTACTTGTAAAGTTCATTTGATTGCTTATCAATATTTACTCACCTTCACAGTCACATTAATAAAGTCCCCAAATCTGATACATAAATCTAACTTACTATCTTTACCATCTTTACAAAGTAGAATTTTCATGATTCAGAAATAATCTGTGAACATAAAGGGTTCCAGGATTCATAGTACGCAAATACTCAACATACAGGCAGTTTTTTTTCTACAGAGTGACAGAAAACACAATAAACGATGAAATTTACAATAATCTGAATCATCTTTCTCGTGTATTAATCATCGTGACAGAATCATATGTACAAACACACAAAAACTACGAATATAGAGGCATTTTCATTTCATTTTTGTAAACAAATAACACGAACAGGTTACGAGCGAAGAGTATATGAGAAAATTACCCATTCCTAGGGCGGAAAGCTCCACATCATTATGCTGTTGCATATATCTCTGCAATTAAACAAAATCAATCTCCGTACACAATTTTTCTTAGATCGGGAAGAATCAAAAACGAAAAATCATATATGGCGTTTTACCTTAGCGAGATTAACGTAGAAGAAGAGAGGCTTTTTGGTGTTGGAAACCTGAATGCGATTCTTCTTATGATTGTCGCCTGTGATGGTTATGTTTTGAACAGCCTCTGTAATGTCCTCCATTGTCGTTCGAAAAACGAAGCGTAACCCTAACTCTGGAAACAAACACGCACAGCGATAGATTTGATAGAGAGATTAAATGGGGGCTCTTTTTATCAATTTTTGGGGGGAGGGTTTGGCCTTAAAATAGGAATTTCCATTTTTACCCTTTTGTATTTTGTTTCCAACAATCATCGCATCTAGCAAAATCAAATATGTGATAAAGAAATTTTGTTTATCATAAACAAAATTGTTTATCACTAATATGAATTTTTTTTAATCTTATAAATCACATTGAATCTGATTACTTTTATTATAAGATTTTAGAGATTTTAAAATAAAACTCATGTAAATAGTTAGATTACAATCTTAGCTATTGATTATGGACGCGATAACATGATCTTCTTCCCTAAGACCAACTAAAGATATGCTAATATTTATAATAACATAAATCTTAAAAATAAAAAATATTCATCAACAAAATATTTATTTTTTACTGACATCAAAACAATTTATTAGAGAAGGGCTAACAAGATACTGATTAAAGTTTTTGATTCAGATTTATATGTCTACTTCACATGTTATAATGTGATCAACATGTTATCATTCAAAAAATAATTTTCACGCTGAAAACAAGAGTCTAGGAATTTCGGTAGTAAAGAAAATTATTAAGACTAAAACAAACATTTTAAATAGGTTCATATGTAATCATAAAAACGACAAAAGAAATACAAGATAGTTATCCTCTCTAAATTTATCATAAAATGGACATCTTTTCGCAAAATTGGTCTTGCAAAATGAATTTAACTTCATGGGTTTTGTTTTCTAGAAAAAAAAAAAAAAAAAAAAAAAAAAAAAAAAAAAAAGGTAATGTCACGAATTTCATTACTATAGTTATACAATTTTATAGACAAAATACATGTAAATAGTTGTAATTTGTTTCACAAATAACTACGAAGATTTTTTTATTTTGTGAAGTCCCAATTATTTTATGTATAAGAAGAGTTATGTTTTCATGGAGAAATCATACATCCTTAAAATGTCTTAACATCAAAGATTTGTATTTCAAACAAAGTCTCGTATATCTTGTTCAATAAGGTAAAAAAGGAGCTGCATGTAGCCATGCACCTTTCGTATGGGTTAAACAAAAGTAACATTAAACTTAGAAATAATACTTTAATCATTCAAAATAAACTCTTAAACCTTTAACTTATTAACTCCTATTTCACATTTGAAATCTTAACAAAATCTAACCATACTAGAGAATGTTTAAGAATTAAAATCTAAGTTTAAAGAGAAACTTCTAAGGAATCTCTAGTCCTCCTCCTCAGGATGGAAAGCCTAGGAATTGAAGTCTATGTTTAGAGAGAAACTTCTAAGGGATCTTCGGTCTTCCTCATCTTTTTCTCTCCTTTTCTCCAACTATACTTCTCTACTAGCACAACAATGGGAATAATGTTGATGATTTGTTTCACTAATGTGATTTAATTGTAATTTGATTACTTTGTTGATTAAAAGTGATCTTGATAAATATTAAACAAGGAATGTGTGGAGTACACACTTGTTTAAGTTTATTCAAGATTAAAAATAGACTGTCATTTAGAGGCGAAGCCCTGAACGAACGGGGGTCCAGGGGCAACACCCTTAGGAGCGGGGTCCAAGGGGCGGCAGCCCTTGGCAGGGTCTAAGGGGCAGAGCCCCTATATTGTTGTATTGAAAATGCATCAGAAATCCAAATTTATTTGACCTGTTTTTTGGCTTGGTATTATTCCTTATAGAATACCCGGATTTATGATAGTTTTTTGACTGTTGCAAAACTGTTTTATGACAGTTTTCAGACAAATGAGGTATTTAACCAATTTTGGTCAGTTTTTCTGGTACTTACGAAATTCATATATCTCATTATTTGTTTTTTCTCTTCTGAGTCTTATCCAATCAAAGATTAGGGAGTACCACCCGATACCTTGATTTGATAGTAAAATCACAATTCTCAGAATATCCAAGTGCCTTTATTACCCTGAATTTCTAACAAATAAAACATTAAGCATCAAGAATCCTAGTGAGTAAGTCATTCAATAATTAACAAACATAAACTTCAACAAGTGAGTGTTTATTTTTCAAAATGCTTGTTAGAGTCGATTAACTTTTACAAGGTCTCTAAGAAAAAAAAAGGGAGGGGGGGGGGGGGACCTTTTGAAATGAAGATTAGTTTGATTAAATGGGATTTGGTGTTGGCTAGTAAAGAGAAGGGAGGTCTTGATATTGGTAGCTTAGTCATGTTTAATCAGACCTTGTTGTACAAGTAGAAGTGGAGATTTTTAAATAACCAACAAGATTTGTGTGTTAAAGCATTGCAATCCATTCATGGTTTTCCATGCAAAGGCAAATCAATTACCCTCTAGTTGTGGAGAAGGGTATGTGGAGCAAAATAGTTAGGTTTATTAACCAACTACACGAAAAATGGATCATTTTCCATTTAGTTGTTTAAGGAAAAGTGGGGGATTGTTCAACAACCATGTTTTGGAAAGATTATTGGCTCGATGATGTCTCCCTTGTAATCAAATTTATGAGATTATTCGTGTTAGAAAATAATAGAGATTGTTTTGTTAAAGATTGTTGGAATGGAGATCAATGGAGCTAGAATTTGGCGACATGAGATTAGAGGTGGAGTCGAGCACAATTAAATGATGGAGATGATGGATCTTCTTACTTCTTTTCAACCTTCAAATTATCAAGATATTCGGTTTTGGAATCATCGTATCTCCAATCGTGTCACTGTTAATGATACCATGAAATTCATTAATTATGTCAGTATTTCTAATGGGTTTTTGATCGCAAGATGGAATAGGTTCATTCAAGGAAATTTAACATTTCATATAAGAGAATTTGTTCAGATAAGCTTTCAAATTGTACTAATTTTTTGAACAAGGTAGTTGACATTAGATTCGTTTATGTCTGGATTATACTTAGGAAACGAAGGTCAATTATCCTACTTTTGTTGCGTGTGATGCTTGGTAGGCATTTGATGTGACTTAATCACTCTAAGTTTTGATATGACAGAAAACATTTTTAATTGGATAGAATCATCTCATTTATCAAATATGAAAAGATAGGTGGAGTCGATACATTGTTAAAGGTATCTAGAGTATTAGAACAATCATTTTTTTAGTGCTACAAAGTTCAGAAGAGATGTTTTTATATGTGAGATGATTCAAACTTTTTATATGTATATGGACCATAAGGTTAAAGTGAGTTGGGTTGCGTTGTAAAAAACCTCAATTATCAGTATACCTTTATAATTTCCCCTTTTGCTATTTATTACTGGCTTGTGAATATATTATATGAAGTTGTCAAAAAAAAGTAAGCATTTCCTCTTTGGATCTACACTTGGAGCTACACTTTACTCTTTCTTTTCTTTCTATGTTCTCAAAGAAAGTAACATGCAATTAGTTATTATTCATTATCTTATATCGTTATAATAGTTCTTTTTTCTTAGAAATATGAGCATTCCACACAAAAATTTATACTTTAACGAAAACAAATAACCAATATCTCTTTCCATAAAAAGGTTAGCTACTTCCCAAGTCTTATTTTCTCTAGGAACTCGACGATGTCATGACATTCAATAATGTTGTGAGACGCTCAATAATATCTCATCTTCTATCTTGATTCTTTTATAATTTCTCATTAAGTAGTGAATTCTGTGGGTATGATTGAAAAAACAAGTTGGTATCGAGTAACTGAAAGCTATAATTTTTATTTGTTATATGAGTGTTTGACAAAAATAGCTGAAAACTTTTAAAATGTGTAAAATTACACAAAAAGCCAATTATTTAAAAAAAGATAGTTATATAAATATATTTTTAAGGGCAATTAAAAAAAATTATTAAAAAGGCTCAATAGCTTTTTCTAAACGCTACATGATGAATGTTAGTTTTATTTTTACGCATCATTTTAGCATATTTTCTTAATCATTTTCATGACATATTATGCATATTTAGCATGCATTTATATGTTTTAATACATCTTTAGTATGAGACTATTTTACTCGCTTAAGATTAAATTGTGCAGATTTATGTAAGCGGGTAATGACATCTTTGATGATCGATAGACGTCACATGGAAGGCCTTATAACCACAATTGAAGTTTTGGAACAACATTCATGATAAAGCAATAAAACGAAGTAAATTAAAGATTTTGTGGAAATTTGACAAAAATGTGAGGCCTTCGTAAAGTGTTTGGATCGAGGGGAAAACGTGGTCCGATCAAGGTGAAATTTTATAGATGTCTTCCTAACCCATGTATCTTTAATCTGAACGGTAGAGATTGGATTTAACTATCGTTTGGTATAGATATTGGCCTCGAGAACAGAAGCAAAAATCTACTCAACATTAGAGTTTCAACAGCCCATTTAAAAAGAGTTTTACATCAGCTTAATTAGCCTTTAAAATTAACCCACCTTATCAGCCAATCTTATGCCTTATTAAAATCAGCCCAAAATTTTGATTATAAGGCCTAGGAACCCATTACCCAATATTGTAAAGGATATCACCTTATGGAAATGTCCATGTTTAATTGTAAACTTATAGAAATGGTCTCTATAACTTTGTAAAAAGTCAATATTACTCTACGGCTTTAAACTTTGTAACTTTTGCTAAAATGCACCGGTTTTGGCTTTTTTTTTTAAAGAAAAAAAACGTCTTTGGGTGAAGTCCGGGGTCACCTCCTATTATATATTTATATACATATTTAAAAAGTGTCTTTAAATGTTTACACGAATGGTGTGACATTCCTAATTTTTATGGCCAGAAAAAAAAATTATTTATATTTATTTTAAATCAGAGTGATCTTTATAAATGCGGAATTAGTCCCGTAAAAAGTATTTCTAAAGGAAATGTTTTTCATTGATTATTTTAATTTGAGATGTCATAACCGATACAAGACTTATACGTATATATTACAGGCCTTACATTAACTAGTGGCCTAAATTCCTCGAATCTCTCAATAGATTGTACATTCATACCGCTACCTGTAATACAAAGAAATTTGGTGGGTCAGGCTTGGGAGTCTGGTAAACACACAACCAACAATATTGTAATTATATATTTTTCACAATAAACAAGTAATCCCGATTACACCTTACCGTTATTCTTACTCTCTAAACCTAACATTCTAAACTCAAAAGACCTATCCTAAGGATCTCTGTGAGTAGACAATACTACTCCTGGAAAACCATAGCAATGTGTCAATAAGGTAACCTTGAGGGGGATAGAGTACCCAAACAAACAACTTTCCTTTTCCCTGAAAAGTATTATCATTAACACATACAGGTGGCGAACCTGCTAGTGTTCCATCGGACTATATTATTTCATTTTCCCAAAAACCCATTACTACCCAACCCATTATTTTATCTTTCCCAAAACCCTTCACCACCCACTACGAATATGATAAAGTGATTTATATAAATAAAATCATATTATAGCACAAATATCAAGTATACAGATTGCAAGAACATATAA